CGTACAAGACCGTCGGTGGCAAGAGATATCTTATAACATACTTGAACCACGGTATTATTACCCCCAGGCAAGGGCCATAAGACCACAGTATTATTACCCCCGGGTAAGGGCCTTGTGCTAAGGATTCCATGAATACTTTTACATATATGGATAATCATTCATTAATTCATAGCGTCACATATCATAAAATAGAGCATTTCTTGGTATATCATGTCATTACCATGCGCTTAACAAAATAGATTAATTCACATTCTTATGTGGGTCACATAATGATGTTAAACTTTTGCGTTCACGTCGTTGATTCTGAATAACTTCGAGTTCATATGTAACAGAACAAAATAACTTCAAATTCACATGGATTCACATAACTTTCCAATTATTTTGATTCTTCGAAGATGAACACAAATTCTCTTTATTCATTAAGAAATGACATGGTTCACTTGAGCTATGAATCAGTAACATACACCTTTGTTTAATCGTTCAGATATGTTAACATGGTTGACCAGCAATTAACAGAGTACTAATGGTAACCATTGCATCATTCACATGAGTTAATGCAGTTAACTTAAGTTTAACAGAACGTTCTTGATAATTATTAACGAAAGGTAAACACATTTTACCGATTGAATGATTCCAGAGATACCGGAATACCATAGTTCCATAATCCTCATACGTTCTATTTGTTCGTCATGAATCACTATAGCTATCTTGCAAATAACATAAAGTTAGTATTCATTGTCAACAGTAAATAGAATGGACTGCTCAATAATGCTTCTAGATTTTCCAATCAATATATTGTTAACTTAATTACTTGCAAGGGACAGAATGTTAACAATGAGAATCATTAACAATACTTGAACGTGCAACTATAGTACTACTACTCACAGCAGTAGGTCTCTGATAGCGATGGAACGATGTCCTCGTCTTGACCTACAAACACAATGCATATAACAGATTATGAGAATAAAACCAATCTCTTTTTATTCTTCACTCAATAGCTAGGGTGGTTCTAGACTCATTAGTCCTCCATAGGTTATAATCCATGCCTCATAAGATAGGAGGAATCGATAGGAGAAAGGTTCAAACGAAGAAACGGTACAAACCGGTAAACAGAAAGTGAATAGTCATCACTAATTTGGGCATAACTATTTTTGTATTTAGAATTTAGGAGTTAGATCACCACCATTGCAAACTAGACTTCCGGGGCTTGATTTTAGGCTCAAGAATCACTCAAAACAGAGTCCGGATGCAAAAGATATGCTTGTTCAAAGTTGGCTGGACAGAGCTGTCTCCGCACGTGCGGGGAAACAGTTCCACACGTGCGGCCCTGGACAGTTTGCAGTCCGAAAATGGCTGAAAATTTGGGACTTCTCATTTTCAAAATCAAACCTTAATTACATGTAAATCAAAGCCCAAAACCCTTTAATACATGACCAATTTCACATTATTATTCTCCATCAAACATCATAACCTCAAAATAAACAAATATAATGACTTTAATTCTTCAATTAACCAACTCCTAAGGAATCAAGGTTCAATTCATGAAAAGAGTTCATCTAAACTTATATCTATCAACCCCAACTCAATTAGGTGGTTTCTCTTCATTTGAGATCATGAATTTAAACTAGTAATAGATCAATCCTAAGGGGTTAAGTTGATTTCACATACCTAGAGCCAATCTCTTGAAGTAATTCCATCAATTTCCCTATCTTTCCTCTTCATTCTCAAGCTCTTCCTTCCTTCTTCTCCTTGAGTTCTCTATCTCTCCCTCTCTCACGTGGTTCCCCCTTTCCTCTAGATATTTTTTTTTTTTAAATTCTAAGAGATGAGTCCATCCACTCATAAGGCACCCATAATATAAGTATAAACATACACACCAACATAACACAATAGAGAGAGCCAAACGTGGCCTTACGATTCGTACGAAATCAAATTTCAATTAAACTTCCCAGATAACTCTAAAAATTATGAGGATCATAAATATCTCCCCTTCCCAGATAACTCTAAAAATTATGAGGATCATAAATATGTCCCCTGTTCTGGTTTCTGAAGCCTCTAATGCCTTCAATTTGCAATATAAAGTTAACTACCCAAACGTGCATTAACGAATCAGACAAATTAGATTTCCAATTAATTGTCCCAAATAGTTCCAAAAATTCCCATTAACATATCCAAGTACTCAATTTTGATTTCTGAACCCATATAGGTCGGTAATTTCAATTTTTAATCTGTAACTCAATAGATAATGCTTCAATTCCAAAAGATATAATTAAATTAAAACACCTCATCTCATAATTAAATACCAATGATTTCTTATACGCATTTTGGGGCCTTTACATTCTCCCCACCTTAAGAAGTTTGGTCCTCCAAACTTGATTCACCTTGTCACAAGTCTAGTTTTGTCCTAGACATATAATATTTCTCAATTATTTAGCCATTCACAATTCAATACAGTCAATTTGAATGGAGTTTGCTCCCAAAACTACACGTAATTCATCTTTACTGACTAATTGGCAGCCCAATTGATAATAATACTTAATAACATCAAAGCATCGTCTCATCATTCACAATCCTGGTACATTTCAAGTTATTGATCTAAAGGTCATACCTTCCAGATACTATAACAACTTAAGGACATTCAGAAATGGATTCACTCAAGTATTCGATTACATGAGACTCATGAGCTGTCATACATAGTTCAAACTCTTTAGGTTCACAAACAACCCCAACTCCTACTCCCTCGAAGGTTAAGGAAATGTTTACTAGATAATCATGTTTCAAAGGCACATGCATCTTACAACAATTAAACCCAGAATAACAAATAAGTTCTAGATCAATGACTTTGTGGCTCCTTGCTTACTATCAGAATTAGACTTATCAGTTCAAATCAGATTTCTAACAGACTCCAAATGACAACTCAAATCCCATATCAAGGAATTACATGTTCAGAGTAAATTATCAGTAAAACCAAATACGTATCCAACCTTAATGATCACAATTCCCGAATTACAATAAGGTATAATCATTTAAAATCCATGTTTGCTTGGAAGATCTTAAAGTCAACATCATGACATCAAACACATAATACATTTACCAGTTCTCGTCTCGACCTACAAGTACAGTGCACAACACATAATATGAGATTATACTCGATCATTTACTTATTCTCTTTGATCATTCACTTAATTAGCCATGGTGGTACCAAGCTCATTATTTCTCAATAAGTTATACTCCATGTCACAGAAATAGGAGAAATCAATGGAAAATGGTTTAGGTGAAGAAATGGTATAAAATTAGTTGACAGAAAGTGAACAGTCGTCACTAATTTGGGCATAACTATTTTTGTATTTAGAATTTGGGAGTGAGACCACCGCCATTGGAAACTAGACTTCCGGGGCTTGATTTTAGGCTCAAGAATCACTCAGTTTAAGCCTAAAAAGAACCAAAGCAAGACCCCGAAGGGTGCCGATAACAAAATACAACTGCTGAAAATAACTTGATCTTCACACAGGAGGTCACTAAGCATGAAGGGAGGCTGCCGGCCATGAAGAATGGCCTGCCGACCATTGATGGGCACCTGCCGGCCATTGATGGGCACCGGCCAGCCATCAATGAGCCACTCCCGGCCATCGATGAGCAGAACCTCCGAAACGTTGACACCTGTCCTCCACTCAATGCCATATCTTCTATAAAGGTTCCAGTCTTGTGGTTCCTTTATTTCAACTTTGTTTTTTCCCCAAATGGAAGCATTTCTAGCCCAAAAACTCTCTGATTGGCTTGCAGCTTTAGATGGCTCAAAAAAGTTGAATTTTTGGGGTTTTAGAATAAATGCACTATTCACGCTGAGCCGCACCCCGCTGTGTTTTCCGTTCCTCCATGCCGCGGCTAAGTGTTGGAATCCATTAACTCATGTTTTTAGCTTTGGCGGACAAGAGATATGTCCCACTTTTGAAGATTTCCAAACTTTGATGGAATCTCAGCGCGATGAAGAGACCTTTTTCAAGCTCAATATGCATAACTTCTTCTTACAGCCAATCATACTCAACATGATTTCACTTATTCTGCAAAACACATCTTATCAAATATTCAAATACAGTAACCTCTCAAAATCAAAGATCTAGACATTATTTTGGCAAGGAAGACATAACTATAGCATAAAGGTTAGAGGATCACATATATCGCTTTCTTTGATTTTAGAAATATTCCATACTTAGAGTTTAATCACTCCATCTAAACAGATGTTAGGAAGCACAATCACGTTATTATCGTTTCTTACGGGTAATTACCAACCCAAAATAACAACAGATGTCACACATTGGCATATAAATTATCTTACCGATGAGCTCGAACCCTCACTACGCTTCCGCTGCGCAACTTTGTTAATTTAATCCCATAATTTTCCTTTTCATTCTGTCTAACCGTGCGGGGGTAGAACCCTCCGGATCTTCCGTCTTTATACTTACCATATTCTGCATCACAACCAATCACCATATACACAAAGAATGTACAATAGACATGGATCATGATCGTTAGCGTTACCAGATACACTTAACGTTGCCATCCATCTTTTCATATGCAGTAAGGATGTCATGCATGATACCCAAGTCTTTTCTAGACATCCTAAGCCCAATGGATTCGTGTGTGAGATAGTAACTCATGCTTTGATACCACTTGTCACGCCCCAAACTCGCCCCTAAAAGTTCGGGCATGACCTATGCAGATACGGACACATGACCTGATATACATAATATACGGGGCCTGAACGGAAGCATTTAATATTACAAAGTAACATAGAATAACATCCATTGAGCTAAAACTAACATGCCAGGATCACATACGTGAGAGCCATTTATCTATATACATACCCATACATATAAATGAGCGTATATCCGAACATTGGTAAAGAAAGGGGGTATATACATACCCTTTAACCTTAAGTAAATAATTAAAGTGCACGCCAAAATCTTAACAAACTTCACATAAATGCATGGGCATGGCCGGGGAGTCTGGGCATACTGAGATTGACAATTGAAGGGTAAGCATCAAGGGTTAAGACGGACTCCCAAAGTAATTACCTACAGAACAGACATAACACAAAGTGACCGAAGCTCAGTGAATAATAGTATATAAATGATTCAATATTCAACTTAATCATAATACATATGAATGCGTATGTAAATGCGGAGATCATATAATTAATCTGATTCTGTACTAATTTCAGAACGGCCTTAGGCCCAATCTTGAAACATTATGGCTTTAAGCCTTTGAATGGATTGGCGATAGCCCTTGAACATATTAACATTAAGCTTTTACACATGCTAGCATATAGCCCTTGAACATATGGCATCAAGCCCTTAAACATATGGCGTAAAGCCCTTGTACATATGGCATGAAGCCCTTGAAAAGTTGGCATTAAGCCCTTGAACATATGTATGGACTCAAGAGGTGGCTCGTACGGATTCTAGAGGTGACTCGCATTGCAGCACTTAGTTCCGTACAGCACTTTGTTCCATACCAGAAATCATTAGGTCTTAAAGACCGATCAATTCATATCATGTTATAACATAGCATAAACGGAATGGATAAATAGAAACATATTCATACATATTCTTACTTATGCTTGAATCAGAAACAGAAATCAGAGTTCATGATTGATCATAACCCACCCGTACAAGACCGTCGATGGTAAAACATAATCCACCCGTACAAGACCGTCGGTGGTACCATCCGTACAAGACCGTCGATGGAAAAACGTAACCCACCCGTACAAGACCGTCGGTGGCAAGAGATATCTTGTAACTTACTTGAACCACGGTATTATTACCCCCGGGCAAGGGCCATAAGACCACGGTATTATTACCCCCGGGTAAGGGCCTTGTGCTAAGGATGCCATGAATACTTTTACATATATGGATAATCATTCATTAATTCATAGCGTCACATATCATAAAATAGAGCATTTCTTGGTATATCATGTCATTACCGTGCGCTTAACAAAATAGATTAATTCACATTCTTATGTGGGTCACATAATGATGTTAAACTTTTGCGTTCATGTCGTAGATTCTGAATAACTTCGAGTTCATATGTAACAGAACAAAATAACTTCAAATTCATATGGATTCACATAACTTTCCAATTATTTTGATTCTTCGAAGATGAACACAAATTCTCTTTATTCATTAAGAAATGACATGGTTCACTTGAGCTATGAATCAGTAACATACACCTTTGTTTAATCGTTCAGATATGTTAACATGGTTGACCAGCAATTAACAGAGTACTAATGGTAACCATTGCATCATTCACATGAGTTAACGCAGTTAACTTAAGTTTAACAGAACGTTCTTGATAATTATTAACCAAAGGTAAACACATTTTACCGATTGAATGATTCCAGAGATACCAGAATACCATAGTTCCATAATCCTCATACGTTCTATTTGTTCGTCATGAATCACTATAGCTATCTTGCAAATAACATAAAGTTAGTATTCATTGTCAACAGTAAATAGAATGGACTGCTCAATAATGCCTCTAGATTTTTCAATCAACATATTGTTAACTTAATTACTTGCAAGGGACAGAATGTTAACAATGAGAATCATTAACAATACTTGAACCTGCGACTATAGTACTACTACTCACAGCGGTAGGTCTCTGATAGCGATGGAACAATGTCCTCGTCTTGACCTACAAACACAATGCATATAACAGATTATGAGAATAAAACCAATCTCTTTTTATTCTTCACTGAATAGCTAGGGTGGTTCTAGACTCATTAGTCCTCCATAGGTTATAATCCATGCCTCAAGATAGGAGGAATCGATAGGAGAAAGGTTCAGACGAAGAAACGGTACAAACCGGTAAACAGAAAGTGAACAGTCGTCACTCATTTTGGCATAACTATTTTTGTATTTATAATTTCGGAGTTAGACTACCACCATTGGAAACTAGACTTCCGGGGCTTGATTTTAGGCTCAAGAATCACTCAAACCGGAGTCCGGATGCAAAAGATATGCTTGTTCAAAGTTGGCTGGACAGAGCTGTCACCGCACATGCGGGGAATCAGTGCCGCACGTGCGGCCCTGGACAGTTTGCAGTCCGAAAATGGCTAAAAATTTGGGACTTCTCATTTTCAAAATCAAACCTTAATTACATGTAAATAAAAGCCCAAAACCCTTTAATACATGACCAATTTCACATTATTATTCTCGATCAAACATCATAACCTCAAAATAAACAAATATAATGACTTTAATTCTTCAATTAACCAACTCTTAAGGAATCAAGGTTCAATTCATGAAAAGAGTTCATCTAAACTTATATCTATCAACCCCAACTCAATTAGGTGGTTTCTCTTCATTTGAGATCATGAATTTAAACTTGTAATAGATCAATCTTAAGGGGTTAAGTTGATTTCACATACCTAGAGCCAATCTCTTGAAGTAATTCCATCAATTTCCCCATCTTTCCTCTTCATTCTCAAGCTCTTCCTTCCTTCTTCTCATTGAGTTCTCTATCTCTCCCTCTCTCAAGTGGCTCCCCATTTCCTCTAGATATTTTTTTTTTGATTCTAAGAGATGAGTCCATCCACTCATAAGGCACCCATAATATAAGTATAAACATACACACCAACATAACACAATAGAGAGAGCCAAACGTGGCCTTACGATTCGTACGAAATCAAATTTCAATTAAACTTCCCAGATAACTTTAAAAATTATGAGGATCATAAATATGTCCCCTGTTCTAATTTCTGAAGCCTCTAATGCCTTCAATTTGCAGTATAAAGTTAACTACCCAAACTTGCATTAACGAATCAGACAAATTAAACTTCCAATTAATTGTCCCAAATAGTTCCAAAATTCCCATTAACATATCCAAGTACTCAATTTTGATTTCTGAACCCATATAGGTCGGTAATTTCAAATTTAAATCTGTAACTCAATAGATAATGCTTCAATTCCAAAAGATATAATTATATTAAAACACCTCATCTCATAATTAAATACCAATGATTTCTTATACGCATTTTGGGGCCTTTACATTCTCCCCCAAAAAAAACCGGTCTACGAGCATAAAAAAAACCAAAACGGATGCAAGACGAGAGATCGGGAGGTAAAGCATGCGGCCGAAACCTTGAAAAGTGGTCTATGAGCATCAAAAGTGGTATGCAACCACAAAATTGCTCTCCCGGACCACAGCGTTCCTCTAGGAAGAGGCAACAAGGTGTGGTTCAAAAACCACGCCAAACGGAGAACGTTAAGCGGTCCCGAGACAAGGCACGCGGTCGAAGGCTCTGAAAATCGGAAACTAGGTGTGGTTCAAAAACCACGCCAAACGGAGAATGTTAAGCGGTCCCGAGACAAGGCACGCGGCCGAAGGCTCCGAAAATCGGAAACTAGTCTCCAAATGGGAAATGTGGCCTACGACCACAAAAAGTGGTCTACGACCACAAAGAGATGGTCTACAAGGCCTCGCCCTCCCTTCGGGGAAGAAAAACAACGTTCAGTCCACAAACCAAGCCGAAGCACAAAAGAGTTCAGAGGCCCGGAGGCAAGGCTCTCAGCCAAAACCCCGAAACCTCTAAATGAGCACAACATGAACCATCACCGAGTGCTCAATCGATGACGTCTGTGTGATATCCCTGTTCCATAATATGTTAATTGGTCCTTAATATGAGCATGATTATGTGTTTAGTATGATTTTGTGTGCCATTATGTGAAAATATGTGGCTTTGAATTTCTATCTGTTCACCGTAGGAATATCTGTTTGATTATCTGCTTTGGAAATTAAATTGAAGGTCCTATCGGCCACAGAAACTGAAATCGATTGCGCCTTTGTGATTAGCATAATTTTTAAAGCCTACGGTGAAATTTAATTGGAATTTGGTTCGGATCAGATTAAATTGATTAAAATAATGACTTAGTGCTCAAATCATTTAATCTTAAAATAAAATGACTAAGGGAGCTTCTTATTAAGGGCATTATACACCCAATTCTTCTTCTTGGTATTCATTTGGCTGACTTAACTCTAAGGAGAGAGGGGGAGGTTCGGCTAGAGGGAGAAAGACTGTAAGAGATTGAAGTTTGATCTCAAAGCTTGGAATCCTTGAAGATTACTCAAGAATTTGCTATAGATTGTGGGAATTAAAGCTCCTAGGTGAGTATTTCATGGATTCTAGTTTGAAATTTTGTGTATTAAAGCTAGTTGGGTAATCAAGAGTAAGAATTGAAATGAAATTTAGTTATTATGTTGAATTGAAGGTCAATGTATACATGCATGTGTGTAATTGCTTTGAATATTGCATGTTTGAGCACAAAGGGTATGATCCATGTAAGTTTGTAGTTGAAGCTCATGTTTTGATCACCTCTTCATCATCTAAGTTGAGAGTAACGGTTACATAGCACATGCATGTACAATTCATGAGAATATGAACTTGAACGCATGAATTTGTTGTGTTAGAATGAGTTTGATGAAAGATTGGGACATGTATGTGATTTATTTGTGAAATTGAGCTTCATTGGGTTGTAATTTGGGGTTTATACCATGTTAGTACAAGTGTATTTGAAGTTTGAGCTATTGCATGCAAGAAATGTTGGTTGAATGTCGAATTGGAGCTCAAGAACATGTTCTGAAAAACCCAAAAAATTTGATGTCCGCTCAAGCGAGGAAACCACCGCTCGAGCGTGAATTTCGTGCTCCCAGTATTTTTACAGACTTGGATGTCCGCTCGAGCGGGTAAGTTCAAGCTCGAGCGGGGAACTATTTAGACAGACCTTCAGCTCGAGCGCTAGGCTTCAAGCTCGAGCGTAATTTTGATGCATCGAGTACTTTTACAGACATTATGGGTCCGCTCGAGCGGGGATGTCTACGCTCGAGCAGGGACAATGTTTTCTGAAATTTTGAAAAGACATTCTGTGTTTCATTTTCTGTTCTCTTTCACTTCCAAGTACTCTTAGGCATGCATTGAGCATTGTAATTGAGTTAAAGTGATAAGAATGAAGCCTAATGAGGAAAATGTGAATTTGGAACGGATTGAATTGTTTGTGACCCATTTCTGTTCATGGAATGTATAGGGTCGAGCTCCAGAGCAAACCAACCAACCGATCACTGTGAGTAATATCTTAACAAGATATTTGAAATATGTTATTGTCCAATTGTTTACTTCTATGTAAGTTTTGTAAGTTCATTAATAAATGATTGGGCCGAAGGCCGATTGACATGAATGATTGGGAAAAAGGCCGATTGACATAAATGATTGGGCCGAAGGCCGATTGACATGAATGATTGGGCCGAAGGCCGATTGACATGAATGATTGGGCCGAAGGCCGATTGACATAAATGATTGGGCAGAAGGCCGATTGACATAAATGATTGGGCCGAAGGCCGATTGATACAAGTGATTGGGCCAAAGGCTGTCTGCTGTAACTGTTTCAATGATTGTTTATGTATCTTCCTTATTGATATTATTCTCTGGGCTTTTGCTCACACTCATTCATGTTCATGTAGGTAAGCCAAGGGACGTCCAGAACCAACCTCGGTGAAATTGTGAGAAACAGTCAAAGTTTTGAGGAGTCAGCCCAAATGTCTCATGCATGAGACTGTCTTCGCCTTTGTCCTTTGTTCATAGTTTTGTTATGTTGGCGAAAGCATTAGACTACTTTTGTATATAAGTCTTGGGTGCGACTGACTTAAACTTGTATGATCCTGTATATACGGTGTTCTGTGTTAGTACGTATTTTGATATGAGTTATTAACATATAAATGTTTGGAATGTTATAGTGTGCATATAAGCATAGCTCTATGGACAAAGTTTTAAATTTGCTTCCGTTTGGCTCCTTTACTCTGATGAGTTTTGTTTTATAAGGTTGGATGTAACGCCCTCAAAATAATAACATTAAACCCATCAATATAAACATATATTTATATACAAAAGATCCACATTGTTCAATTCGTTAGAGTACTTCATTACAAAAGTATTACATGTTAACAACAAAAACAAATGCCTTACGGGCTTACAGCTTTCCAAGTTAACACTTGGTTACAAAAGAGAGTACTAACTCAATTACACATTAAGCCCTTGGCTTGAATTTACATGTAATACATCAAAAGGGAATAAGACAACAAAAGTGTGTCCGCCTCTAACCTCCCAAGCTATGTCCTTGGAGGTGGCATGCTGCCTGTACCTGAAAATGATGTTCCCATATAGGGTGAGCCACAACCCAGCAGAGATATACAAAACCAACTATGAACAATGACTAAAAGATTAGCAATTGATAGATGGAAAACACTGATACATCCACATATATCACATCACAGTTTCATAACATACGAGTCTATGTCACTTTTCATTCTCCATCTTTGTTTAATAGGTAAGCATATTAGCTATACCAACACATCAACAGATAAGCATATTACACATCAACAGATAAGCATATTAGCTGTATCCACACTTCACTAGACAAGCATATGAGCTGTATCTACACTTCTCAAAGATAAGCCTATGAGCTGTATCTTCACTTCTCTAGAGAAGCATATGAGCTGTATCTACGGAGTTCATCCCCCATCTCCTCCCAACACTATCCGGTTTAGAGGTTCATCCCCCATCTTCCCCTAAACCGCGGAGTACATCCCCCATCTCCTCCTCTACACACAATGCATATAAACACAAAGGTTCTATACACAATTAATCAATACATAAAATTAGTGTATTCTATCCACCGTCATACTCTATGACACGTTCAATCGATTAGTTTTCGTTTGCCTAATCGTCATGCATTGTCTACAACAATCAAGACTATCCTCCACCGATAACCCAAAGCAGTTATTTCTAAACAGAAAATAAATGCACAAAATGGATATTAAATCAACATTTCAACTTGGTGAGCGATAAATGATCCAACTACACCCCCTAATCCCTTCCCTTACCAATTTCCTCATTCTCAATTCAATCCCCCATTTCCAACAATTAATTGTCTACAAATTAGTCAATCAATGTAATTAGGGCATTTTCCATAATTAACATTTCAATCCCCACGGTTTCACTTTCATCAATGTTTCAACGTTAATATCATTCCTACATGCCAAACATGCATTTAGGTTTTATATAATTAAAAACCCCAACTTTTGTAAAATTACACAAAGGCCCAAACTCTCTCAAAATTTCCCAATAACCCCCAACATATCAAAATGGTAAAATTTAAAGACAAAGCTCATAAAGAGGAGTAGGATATCCCTACCTCGAAGTTAGAGCTCGGATGGAGAAGAGACCAAAACCAAAGTGCTCCAAAAGCCAAGATTTTAGGATCAAAACGACGCCCTCGACGATCAACACAACTTTTGTGAAGACCAAAGGTGAGGAAAACACCCTAGCTAGATCAAACCCTAGAGAGAAGGGAGTTTCTAGAGAGAGGGGCTCTCAAAAATGGGTTTTAGAAAAAGTAGGAGAGAGAAAGGAAAGTAAAAAGTGATTTAAAATCACCCAGCGAATAACTCATATACGCATGACCCGCTCGAGCGTAAAG